TAAGTAATTAAAATTGATATTTTAATAGCACTCTTACGTACGCGAAGCTAATACTTTTAATATTAATAATAAAACACTATCAATTCTATGTGCTACCTATTCATAGGTTTGAAGTCGGTGCCTAGCCTAATACATAATATAATAAGCATGATTACATGAGTACCTAAACTCGCCGGGCGCGTTTGAATTTATTTGTAAGGATTTAAGAAATTTAGTACCGATTTTCTAACTTGATGGCGTTAGCGTAGAATCAGAAGTCTATATGGTTTCGTTACCGGCGAAACTGTATATAGCTTAGAAAGATATTTGGATGAATTATGAATTCTGAAAGTTTTCTCGTACCTACTTGGTTGTTAAAAGTAGTCGTAGGTAGCTGCGATGTTAGTTGTGGAAATTTCGTCTTTTAGCATTTAAACAGTCTTAATTCTCATTTAGTTTTATTCTGTTTAGGGCTTGGCACCGACTTCAAACCTATGAATAGGTAGCACATAGAATTGATAGTGTTTTATTATTAATATTAAAAGTATTAGCTTCGCGTACGTAAGAGTGCTATTAAAATATCAATTTTAATTACTTATTTGACACTTTTTTGTTTTTGAAGTCGGTTTTTTTAAACGTAGTTTTTTTTTTTTTTTCTTTTTAGTATCTGTTGCAAGTTCTTCTGTAAACTACAATAATATTTTAAATATAAATTAACATATTGAATAGTATATATTTTTTAAGTAGCTATGTGTAGGCCAACGAAAGGAGCCGCCCGATTAAAAAATATAGATCCCAAGAAATGGGAAAGTTCTCATCATCATCATCATCATCATCAGCCATTTTAATGTTCCCACTACTGGGACACAGGCTATCTCTCTAGGAGAGGGAAAGTTCTTAACAATATAAATAAATTAAGTCCAAACACGAGGTAGCTACTGTAAACCGTTGAGGAGTTCCCTAGACTGTCGTTCGTCTTCATCATCAGATCCCAAATGACAGTCACAATCCATCAAGGTGTAAAGTTCTCATCAAAACGAATAAATTAAGCTCAAACACAAGGAAGCTGCTATGAATCGTTGAGGAGTTCTCTCGACTGTCTCTCGTTTCCATCCGGAATTCTCTCGACGGTCAATTGTCTCCATCATCAGGTAAACTGCAGACCTTCAGTTGTTATGATACATACCTACAGGTACAAAGTTTTCATCAATATAAATGAATTAAGTTCAAACACGAAGTAGTTACTGTAAACCGTTCAGGAGTTCCCTGAGCTGTCCTTCGTTCTCATCATCAGACCCTTAACGACAGTTACGACCAAGCCTGCTGCAAAGTGCTCGCCAATACGAATCATTCAAGCCCAAACACAAGGCAATTACTCCAAATAGTCAAGGAGATCCCTCGACTGTCTTCCAGCTCCAACATCTGGTCGACTTCAACCTTCGTCAAGTTGTAGTGTTGTTAAAGGCCTACTTAAACATCATACAAAAAACCTACTCGCCCCTACAATTTTCGAAAGTTCCCCTCGGTTTCTCCAGGATTCCATCATCAGATCCTGACCTCATGACAATGGGACCAAATGGCAAGTATACCCTATCGAATAAAAAAAGAATTTTGCAAATCGGTCCAGGCGTCTTCGAGTAATCGGTGTACATACATAAAAAAAAAAAAAAAAAAATACGCCTCGAATTGAGAACCTCCTCCTTTTTTGAAGTCGGTTAAAAATAAAATTAACAAATAACCATGCAACACATTAAAACATATCACATAAACACTTCACGTAACAGCAAAATAAAATTAAAAAACACAAAGTTTGCTAAACAAAAATTCAAGATGGCGGAATAATCATGCAAGCCTTGCATGCCTTTGAAAGCACTCTTAAGTAAAATAAATATGACACTACGAAATTGTAAATTAAGAATTCTTGCATAATTTATAACACGGAGCCATTTGCACAACTTGCAATAAATTATTTCACTTTTACCGTTATGTTTCCTACAATTTTTTTTTATATTTTGGTCTACCTCTATATTTTGTTTAACTCCTGGTAAACCATAGGCATGTATACTTTGTTGTACGAGAATAATACAAAATAATTATATGGCAGATATAAAGATCGAATAAAAAAAAATAATGTTAAAGAAAATAATAAAAATCCATCTGTTATAGAAAAAGACGACTTACCCACGTGAGTAGGTAAGTCGTCATTTTCAAGAAATTTAGTTTGTCTCAAGATCGTTTTTATTGAAAAACAATTTCATATCGAAAGTCCAAATTACTATCCAGCTCATGAACTTCACTAAGAGCCGCGGTTTACTGAATTCGAAAAAGGCGGAAATTTATTAATAGTACCTACAAGAAATAAAATACCGGCTTCAAAGGCAGAAAACATAATTTAATATTCAAGTCGACTATCTATGTAACTGCTCCGAACTTCAGCAATATTCAGTAAATGTAAGGAAATTATAGAGTATTATAGCCAACCTTCCGGTGGAACTCGTTGGAATCGTCTTGAAGTGCATTTCAGGTGTATGCACAGCAATGAACGTTGGTTCTATTATTACCGAGGGTGCTATTGCAAAATTCCTGCTCTCGTAATCTTATTTTCAGGCTGTTTCTACGCCAGTAAGAAGTGTGACCCCATTCCTAGGTGCTCTGGTAGTTACTAGGTAATATCTTCTTATTACAATCGATTTTGACTGTCTGAAACCGAGACGTGTACAATGTCAGTCTAGCTTTTTTCCTTTACCTGTCAACCTTACAAATGTTTGTTCGAATCGAATCTCAAAGCTCGAAATAATCGGGTGAATAGCTACTGATATATTGGCAAAAAGGATTATCGATTAATAAAAAAAAAGTAAGGCTAAGTTTCACCGATTATGTTTTATCTTCCTTGCAACTGGAAGCTAATCAGATTTGCGCACCTAAATAATCAACCTTCGACCCCTTATCTTTAGACAAGAAATGGCGTAACTGCAGGAATATTATAACTCATACAGAGCAGGAACTCTCAGCTAAATTATACAAGTTTCAAAGATTCTGTTAATCTACTTACTTGGTCCGCATAAAGTTGGATTCGCGAGCAAATAGCGCATCTGTAGGTGCTCGAAGCTCGAAATAGCATAATTACAGACTGCTCCAAGAGATAATTGTACAATTAGCTGATAACTTGCTGCTTAGCTTTCGTAATGGTGATTAAATGCAGGATCTGTGGTTAATGGTTATTTTAATCAAACCTTGTTTGTTTATAAAGCTGTTTCCTTAAATTAGACAAAAGAACAACCATGCCTGAATAAACGACTACGATGAGCTTGTAAAACAAATTTAATTAATTAAAAAAAATGGTTAAATACTAGCGCTGTTATAGTAATCATATATTAAATGATTTAATGTACCTATCACGCTAAACAGTCAGGAGAGTCAAATAACCACTCAGGTTATTGCATTTTTTTAATATATTTTTTACATAATAAAGTAGCTACTCAACGCAAGCCTCAGGGTTTATCTGTGTAGTTGCTAGTAGTTATATACATACCTAATAAATGTTTTTAAGTAGTTTTTTGCTGTGCCAGAAAACGCTTACATTTGTAACTAGAGCTTTTCGAACCTATTGAATACAGTGTTTGCAATTCTTTAGAAGAAGAAGAAGTTTATTTAAGAAGAAAGGTATTAAATATTCATTCCATAAACATTATTGAATTTTGATAATATGTATCTGTTTTGATGTGAGAATACTACATTCTCAATGTTTCTGGTCTTTTTTTATATTTAGGTACAGCTCAGATCTATTCACTTCCGTTAGAGTATTGACGATCCAGACAGTAAGATTCCGATGAACTACAAGATATAACTATTTTATTGATATGACCAAATTACTGACTACATTCAGAACCATACCATACCTCGGCAGGTTGAATACAAAACGCTATCAACTTACAACGTAGCTCATTCTTCACCTTTTTCACGAATAGGAACTTAGTCTTCACTCATTCTTCAAAAGCCCCTTGTAATTTGCTTCTAAATAATCAGCAATTTAGCTTAATTAGTCCAATTGTATTTCCAAACCCTGATTACTAGGATCGATGGGAAGAAATGTGAGGGGACTGAGTTATTGCATCGTTTTGTGCGAGTTGCGTGCACGCCGCGCCCCCGACACGCGAGCCCGCGGCACGCCAAACGATATCTCATACTGATAAAATAATAAGCTTGTTAAAAACTAGTATTTATGATTTATGCTAAATTTTGTTTACAGCTGCATATCTGATACAAAAGTGTTAGTATATTACATCAATGTACTGTTCCTTCAGCTCGCGAATAAAAAAAAATGAAAGTATATAAAATAATTACTTTGTGTTTCACCGGACTGGTAACCCACTAATTTGACTCACGGTGTAATAAATCACCCCACATTAATTAAACCAATTAGAATAAACAAAAGGCTGCTACGAGTTGCTACGCTGCTACGAGAATGCTATGAAACATATGTTTGTCAAAATAATTTATTTCAATCGTACATTCTATGATATAGCTATGTAAGTAATTCATATCTAGGTTGTATTACTAAAAATACCGCTGAATAAATATCTTGTAGCTTAGTGGGTGTGCCATAATCAGATTGCGGCAGTCGTAGAGCTTCGCTACGGACGGACTTCGGCCGCTCCCACCACAACTAGCTAAATTATATCAGCTTGCAGGTATATCTGATCCCAATAATCCGCGTAAATATATTTCACTTAAGTGAACTCTGACCTTGATCGTGCAACATAGTATTCACGCAGGTTAAAGTACGTCTGTGACCTAAAGACTACTTTCGCCTTTAAAAAGTTACGTCAAGTTGAGTTAAGTTTTAAAATACGTTTTATGTATAAAATTAACTTAGTCTTTAGTCACTAAAATAATAATTAAATTTCCAAAGAGAGTATCAGTCAAAATAACAGTGGTTCACTTACCTTATTATTTCATTTTGTGCGTAACTCTGGCACGCCACATGCCGCTGGCCGGCGCTGTCACAAAGGCTTTGTTTTTCACATGTCGGCCGTAGGGCCCAGGAGCTGGTCACGTGGCACGACCACTGCACTGCACCGGCACTGGAGGACCCGGCGCTCCGTGTGGAGTCGGTAGTGATAGAGGTCGCGCGTGTTATTGTTGTGAGCCGGGGTCGGCACGGCAAGGTTGTCACGGAGCGAGTGTCGGCGTGGAGGCGAGCGTGCGAGGCGCTCGGGCGGGCGGCGCGGCGCGACTGCGCGGCCCCAGCGCGCGTGTGTCGCTCGATACGCTGGCCATGAAATTTTCAGCCGAGCTGCTGTCAACCGGTGGCGGCACGCAGGTGCGCCACCACCACCAGAACCTTGTGCTCCATACGTGTAGCTTCGACGTTCTCGAGTGCTAGCTTCCTCCCTTGAAACTGACTTCATACGCCTTTCGTTTTTGTACGATCCCTATTAAACTGAGTTTTACTTTAGATACCTCCAAATTAATATTATTAATTTAATAAATATCATTTCATGGCTGTAAAACGCGTTTATTATCTCTCATAATACAGCTTGTTGGAAAGGTCATAAATTTTTAGACATAAACAAATTTTTGGTATATTTATTTAAGGTTGATATGTATTTACGTACACCATTAAAGCTAGCCAGCATATTTAAAATCGCTACCTCCGGCACTGGCCTAAGGCCAGTATATAGAAACACCATCTAATCTCGAAATAGAATAACATTAAAGTTGACTGAAACCTAATCTTGCCTCATCTAGTGATGTGGTTCGAAATGTCCAGTAACGCTCATAGGTGGCGCCACTAACACGGTACTAGGATGTAGGACACTAACGGGTAACACGTAGTTACCGTGACACCGATGTCACACTTCGAATGTATTTGCGGCTATTTGAGGTTAAGTTCTAAGGTCTATGTTTTAATTAGGTCTCCTGTCGGATTTGTTTGTCTGAATAAAAAGTACGCAGAAAAGGTTTCGTTAACTTTTATTATACGAATATAAACATGTTACAGCAACACTGGTGGAAAACTACAAAAATTACACTTCAATTAGATAATACAGATATTTACAGAACAATAGTAATTAATGTCATTCCGAGCTTAATACAATAGAGTAGGTAACATAAATACAAATATATTATGCAGGATTACATAATACGAGTTATATACGTTACAAACGATACAATTTAAATAATATAATTTATTTTAGGCACACCGTGAATCTTATTTATATTGTATGCGTATGGGCACGTCAAAAGAATTAGCATAGTACAAAGGTATTAAATAAAAAAATAATATTACCACGGTGAAGAAAATAGATAACATAATATTGTCTTTAATTAAAATATAATTCCAATATCAGAACATTTAATGTATGGCTGTAAGTACGTAGAGCTTACGATCTACACATTAACTTACTTGTGTGCAAAAATGGGCTTCGGAAGATGGCCTCCGTTCTGAGGCCATTCACAACAATGAACACATATCTTAAGCGACATTTACTTCTAGTGTAACTACAGGACCACTTTACTCGTATTTTGAAACACATGTTTTACGGATAAACAGTTAAGTACATATACGTCTCTGTCAGGTCAAACGTACCACGTAAAAGTCAACAAATAAAAAAACAGTAATATTTAAATCGTTCCACGTCCGAAACAAAAGTTTTCCTATCCATCATCATTTAAGTGTATATTTATCAAAAACATGACTTAAAACGACAGGCTTTTGTGATCGTCATTTGAGTCACCTTGTTCCCGCTTTATACCCTTCTTCAATTTGAAACACATAAACTCTATCAATTAGAAATACAATACGAAATTCAATTTATAAAACATGTTACTATTAAAGCTTCTAAAATGTTATACAAAATTGGTACAGCACCTTGCTATTAGACGTATATTGCCTTTGGCTCAGTATTATACTACAATATTATTTCATGAGATTCTTATTTACAAACCATTATATACAAACGACAATTCACATATACATAAACATACTAAGCTAGAGGTGGCATTATATTAAGTTATTTACATGAGTACAGTACAAATAATACATTGTAGACACCGTGAAATGCACGCTAGGAATACTTGGGAACGCAGTGTTAAGTAATGAATCCGGTCTCAGCAAAGTTACAGTTTGCAAAACTAAAGGAACTTCCACTTACAAAGCTAAGGGAAATGTGTGATTGTTATTGGGCCAATTAGAAGAGAGCGCACACAATTCAAGAGTATTTTTCACTTTAATAATTAGGATAGCACGAAATGTTATTTGATAATTTTCTTTAAAAAATGTTTTAATTTATGATTTATGAACAAATTAAGCTTAGCAAAAATTCTACATGGTCACCTAAAACAACAAGATCTAGTTCGATGAAACTAATTTCAGAGATCTATGGATAAAGTTGAAACAATAAATGCGAAATTTTTTGTCTGTAATTCCCTGTGCAGGTCTGCCACAACACAAAACTGTCTTCGTTCGGATTATTTGTCTTATAAACACAATGGCTGTCTACCAAACGGTCACTGTGTGTGATCAGGGGCGCTTCCCGCGCGACTTCCCGTTGACCACTGGCTCCACCTGCTGCGTCTTGCGCGGGCGCAGGATGAAGTTCAGATTGTAGGCAGTATTCACCGCGTAGTAAACATTTGCGTTCGCAGGCAGCAGCATTTCTGTAACAATGTAACGACATTAGTGTCTTTGATAGTTTCAAAAGATTACATTAAACCAGTGCACCCTCCCCGAAAACCCCCACATATAAAATTTTATCAAAATCGTTAGGCACTATCTGCTGGGCTGATTTGTGAATCTAAACCATCCAGAGCGCCACTCAACCGCATACAGATAAATTTATGCAAATCGGTCAAGCCATTTAGGAGGAGTTCCATGACATACACAAGTACAGTAGGATTTTAAATAAAACTAGCTGACCCAGCCTACTTGGTACCTTCTCAATGTTTTCGTTTGTTTTTTTTATAGTTCTTTTTTATTTTCTGCCGTTTTAAACAATAAGCCATGTCCATCTAGCCTTCCTCGAGTTTTAGCGACACTAACAATCAGTAATATTTTTTATATATAATAATTAATAAATAAATTTGCGTATCAATAAAATACACAGTGTATATCTATATACGATTGATACGCAAATTTATAAAAATTATAAAACTTTTGTTGATTGTTTAATAAAAAGATCATTTAATTTTAGTTCTATTAAGAAATGGATTAAAATTTCACAACTCCTTACCTTTTTCGGGTAGAACTTGTGCCAATGTGTATCCATCAGGATCACCATCAAGGTTGAGCTTAAGCATCGCATTACGGATGACTTGAGGCGTGCGTTCGTTGTTGCACAGCATTATTGACTTGTACAGCACCACGCCCTCGGTTTCGGCACAGTCTGACTCGTACGTCACGCGGATAATGTAAAAGTCTGGGCCTGAGCGTACACCTGGCGCTGCAGGGCTGACTCCTCCGGCCTTGCCGTTGGCGGGTTTCTGTCCGCTGTTTGCACTCGATAAGGACACATCTAAGGAAGGTAGTGACGACGATGATGAACCGTGCGATAATCGCGTCGGTGACACTCGCCTCTCTAAACTGTCCCTCTTCCACGCTGTGCCTGTCCCGTCTGTCTCACAATAGAACTGCGAACTGTTACTCGAGCTCGTGCTAGCAATCGAGTCATTCTTTCTATGACCTTGGCTATTAGTATCGTTTATTTTCTTTGGTCGCCTTTCCTTTGGAGGATTCGTAGGCGGTTCGATCTGACAAGACAATTGATATGACTCCCGGTCATCCAAAACAATGACCGAGTCAAACCATCTATCAAACATCGAGTCAGAGGGCAAGTGATAGGCGTTGGCAGCACCCTGTAGTAACTTGATCTGCGCGAGGACTTCGAATTCTTTCCGTCGCTTATCGAAATTAATTAAACCATCGGCTACCGTATCTGGAATAGCGGTATCGATCATAGTGAGATCGGTGAGGAAGGTTCCAAGGTAAGGAATAGTTCCATGACTGACGCCAGGAGAGCCTCGTTCGTGTAATAATTTTTGTAGCTGGCGATCATTTTCGCCTACTGTATCTGCGAACTTAGCGGTTCCCTCGCGCATGAGTAACTCTCGTTGAGCCCACCGGTTATTGTCCTCACTAAAAATACGTGCAAGTTCATCGAACAATTCAGCTTTTTCTTTAGCTAGTAATGCCCACGTTTTTCTCAGTCTATAAACAGGGTTACTCTGTAGCCCGGAGATGATCGCTTTCAATGAAGAAAAGTTTTTGAGCACCCTTAATTCTCGGGCAATATCGAGCCATGCTGCTAAAATTTCAGCACGTTCGAGTGGCCTTAGATTAGGTTCCACCAGAACCGTAGATATCACTCTAAACGATACAGCATTAAATTGATTTACAGTTGCCAAAACGGTAGCCGCGTCGTGATTGCGGTCTTTGTCTCTTCGAGACCAAACAGCGCCGAGGCACTGGTGCGGGACGAGCTTTTTGAAGAGCTCCATGTCCATGCGGGTGAGCTGCTCGGCGAAGTGCCGGTGCGGGACGTGCGGCAGCCGGTACGCGCTCGTGTGGTGCGCCGGCACGCGCATGCCGGCCGCCAGGCACATGGCGCCGCCCACTCCGCACCCACCATTGCGCTCTGCACTGAATACAGCTAACTTCTGCAATACCTGCAAGTATACACTCAAGGTTACTTCATCATTCTAAACTATTACAATAGCTGACTAAAAACATCTAAATAGTTGAACGTTAAGCATACCTTCGAATGTAGTTCCGTTCCAGGCAAATGAACTTGAGTGAAGGCGAGTAGCTGTTGCAGTGCGGGGTGGTGAGGAGGCTGACGAAAGTCTTCCGGGTACGTGTCCAGCCACACGTGTAGACACGCAACTAGAGTCCTGGAACATTTACCATAGCATTAATTCATAAATATAATATTAAACTGACGTCTAAATCATGCGTAACTTTCTTATGAAATGGATTGTCAGTTTCATAAGTTATTTAGAAATAATTTATGCCTAAACATGCCTTTAATTCCTCTAGGGTCTAAGTGCCAAGTAAAGGATTTAGTGTTTGGAATTACCCTAATTCCAACCCTAATTCCAAACACCGTCGAAAATTAAAGCTTTCGTGCTACAAATAATTAAGAATTTCTGCAAACAGAAGACCTAAATAATCCCTGTAGTAATCACAAGACCCTACTACTACTCTGCATTTGTACCTAATTCCCGGTACTCTCGCTAATAAGGTAGGCTAATTAACAAAACTGTAACATCACTCACTTTCGATGTTGCAACGACGTATCTACTGCGCTCGGGTGCACCTCCTCCGCTGCCAGGGCTTCGTATCGTCGCAGTAGAAGGTCCAACACTCTGCTGCACTCCGCGAAAGATCTGCAAATACAGACAATATGTTGAAAGGAATAATTGCATGTACTTTACATACTAACGAGATAAATAACTAAGTATCATTATTATAAGCTCACAACAAATTATTATAATTGGTATCTGTGCGTTCTAATCTCAGAAACTGCTCAAACACTTTCAGTATTAGTATTACGGAAACAACTATACTATTTATTATCAATTCTTAAAATAATTAAAGTAATAATCGAAGTATGTATCTTACCGATATGTAGCCAGAAAAACGTTAACGTATGTGGATTCGAGTTCACCATCGTCGGTAGCGAGCGCCTCCACCAGCCGCTCGACGGTGCCTGCCTTCACGAAGCGCACGCGCACCGTCTCCCATTCCAAGTGGGATATCTCGTCATCCGACTCCTGGAAATATATTATTAAAATTTTAATTTTACAGAAACATATTATTTAATTCAATAATATTTAATTTAATTTAAAGTAATTACGAAATTGTTTATTTTAAGAGCAAGTAAAATTAAAACCATAATGATTATAGCATGTTTACACATTTTTTATATTATTACCAAATCTTACGAGTCTTAAAAATCTTACAGTTTACCTCAAAAATGAACGTACCTATACGTATGTATATTTAATTCTTATAAAAAAATCCGAAGCTATCTCATATATAAATATCTGTAAATCTCATATCTCATTAATTATCCTCGTATAATGCGTATAAGGACAAACACTGTTCATTTTTTAAAAAAAAAACTACTGGAATTAACCGTGTTGTCATCATAGTTGACTACCAACGTGTTGCGTGTAAAAAACAATGATGACATAAAATAAGGAAAATTAGGCTGTATTGTTTATATGGTCATATGTAGAAAAGTAAGTGTTGGCGTAACTCAAAAACAAAACACATTAGGTACAATGAGTTTAAAAACAGCTTTTACTCATACTCTTGTACAATGGGGAAATACAAAAAGAGATAGGTATTGAAAGAGTAGCGTAATTCTGAAGAAATACTAAGAAACAGGTTTAGGTGTTTTTCAGAGTGGTTTTCCGCATTCACAAATTACTTTGTCGAGCTGTACTCGCTGTTCGGCTTTTACAAATCGTAGCGTGATGTTTTATAGCCTAAAGCCTTCCTCGAACGTACTAAAAAAACAAAAGAATTATTCAATTCAAACCAGCAGTTCTGGAGATTAACACGTTCAAACACACAAACAAACTCTCCAGCTTTATAATATTAAAAAAAAAGTATAGATTAACTACCTTACAATAACAAAACTCGGGAAATGTCAATTCTTTGAAACGTATAACGCTTAAAGACAGTAGAAAAGTCATAATCATTTAAAAACTGTCTAATAAACAGTTTAGCATTAAGTGAGAGTGTATTGAGCATTGAAAAGCTAAGAAAGCTAGTTAAACACAGTACCTACTAAAGTCGCTTCCAGGCTTAATAACACACGGAGTCATAATATAACTATGTAATTTTATGCAATTTAGTTGTCAAGCCATTGTGCGATCAGAGAACAACACTAAGTAACTAATGACTTACAAGTTCCCACATCACACATTTACTATAGTTCTCTGTATCGCTCATTGTATCGAAATAATGTATATAGGTATTGTCTTAAAACGTGTTTTGCACTGATTTATACATGTCGGAATAATAGTCATTCAAGATACTGTCATGATTTAAGTAGGTTCCATATCATGAACCAAGGTTTTAGTAATCTACTTTCTAGATATAGTTATCAGCACTCACAGATAGGTATGTTTGATACGTTTTCGACTTTTACTTAAAACAATTCGACATATTTTCTCACAATTATTTTTGTTAAGGATGTTGTAAGTACATTTGTAATGAATGATAAAGAATGAAAAAAATGACGTTCACTCATACAGCTATTGTTTCCTCAATTTAATTCATTTGAACATCCATTTATTGTTCTCTCAATTCTCAAGTGATAATTTTAATTTCGTTAATATTTACGAGAGTACAAGGCACTTGGGAATGTAAGTAAAAGAGGCAGAAAGGTGTGTTTCGAATGGCAACAATGTGGCTTGGCATGATTCATTGTGTATTTACTCTGCATATGGCCGAAGTCTTTGTCATCAGCTGATCGCTACTGCAATGTTTTGATTCGATCGTAACGACAACATGGCAATATGGCCTTGTAACGCTACAAATCAATATTATTGTAAAGTGCAAAATCGAACAAACACACAGAAGCAAAAAGCATTCACAATGAATTTTTAACAGCCATATAATCGACTTTATTACAATTTTAAAATTTACTAAAAGTAAGGCGATGTCTCTACTTGGAACTTTAGTGATGAGCTATGGGTATTAATTGGTAGCGGCATGAATAATAATTCCACAACTTTTCGAGTTACTTGGAAATGTTTTCATTCTTAATTCTATCTTTTTTAATGGGCGCTACACCGCTTAAAATAACTGGAAATCATACCAAACCTTACATTACACGCCGGGCTAATTAAGAGATACACGGTAATAAAGAATTATAAATTGTATGGTGCACGCCAAAATTACGTTCAGTAATTGTCATGAACAACCTTGGTAGAGCATTGTCGGTCGTCCGGGAAGTTTACAATACAGTAAATATAAACATGAATACAACTGTGTCGCTGCGAGTGGCCCGTGATGTTTTATAGCCACTTTGTATTCTACAAAATGTTATCGCATACCGTAAATCGGAACGGTAACGTATTGCACAAACGAACACAATAGAAAATTCTAGTATCTCCTGTCACTAACGTACATATTTTGTTTGGAGACGCAGTTTTATAAATTACTACGTTGATATTTATATTAGAGCTACACTGCTAAATGTATTTCAATGTTAATTTTGTTTAGATCGTCGCACCGGTGTTTGATCTAAGCTTAAATTTATACGTAAATCTAGTAGAATTATGCTTTATCTACTGCTCTAAAGATGAGATAGGTAGCATTTATTTAAATGATTTAACTTTAAAATGTTACACAATTTAGACTTTATTTAAAAAACAATTTGACATTCCATTAAAATCCATATAAACAAACATTTTGACATTCTATTTGAAACGTATGATGCAAAAACGATCTGATATATCGTACTCACATTCATTAGCACACAATAAAGTAATTAGTAAACATTACTGAATAAGTCAAGTAAGTATGTACCTAATCAATAAATATTTTTTGATAAATTAAAGAACAAATTTACACGTTTGTTTTATTGACCCATTAGTTTTTTTTTTCATAGAAAATACTGCAATACAATTCGTAGAACAGATTAAAAAAGCGGGTATTTGAGTTACGTAATTAATACTCCTAATAACCATAACTATTTTAATGGAATAACACATATTTCATTAATTTCATTAAAACAACATCTTCTGTCGAGACAAATTATTACGATAGTTATAAAAATATAAATAAATAAAGATAATCTCAGTTAACTAGGTACCAACACAGCTTTGTCAATCTTCACCAATGGCTTTTTATGGCATGTGTCGGCAAAGACACACGATTACCTGGTGGTAAGTAAGCACCCCATGGACACTTGCAATCAAAAGAAGTCACTACAAATGCGTTGCCGGCCTCGGTGCGATATAAGGGATTTAAAGAATTAAGAATGGGGAAAGGATTGGGCATCGATTCAACAAAATTAACAATAAAAAATTGTTATAAATATTTAAATTTTTGAACAAATCTTTTTATACTATAATGCTATTCACTTCGATCAACTTAAAATCTAAATCTATCAAACATCAAGCTATAAGTTCAGTATCACTATAATTGGCATAATATAGGCTTAGATAATTTCGCTATCTTATGCAATCAGCTATTATAATATAGAAATTGTTTTATTTCATTGCCCACCTTAAATAACTTTCATCCTGAGCCCGCAAACAACTATCCTCAACTTATTTACAATGTACCCATTTCATCAACTACCTACTTACTATAACTTAAGGAAGCCGTTTGATAGGACAAATGTAAAGAGAAATGTTCAAATACTTACACTAGAAGCGCTCCGTGTAGGTCGGTGGTATCGGACTTTCTTGAGGTAGACGGTGTAGATGGCGCCGTCGACGCGCTCCTCGCCCCACAACCGCCATGTCGGCTGCTGGAACACACCACCAACAGGTCAACATAACAGCTCAACATCAACATTTTGTATTAAACAGACAATCGTCATACATCATCGTGAACGCTCGTCTCATACAGGTATCTAATTCCAGTCACATTATCCGCCTCATTATTGCTATCTGACGGCAAGGGCAAAACTTGCATCGTTTTCAAAAATGAATATTTGAACGTAGAATTCATTGTACAATGAGTTCATTTATCACGTCAAGTACATACAACACCTATTAAATGTATGCGTAAAGGCACGCGTGTGCAGCTTCAAGTTATTAGTTCAGGAACATTACAACAGCGAGTAACAGATAAGGAAAGTGTCATAACATAGTATGGTCGTTGGTATGTGGTGTCTGTAAGAGAGTGCTTACATAATCATCGTCTAGGTTGCGAGCGAACAGCGCGGGCTCGGCCTTACTGACGCCGCAGATCCTCCACATGGCCCATGTCCGCGACGTCACGCGCGACGTCACCTCAGCTCAGCTGAGCGCCTCCCGCATCACGCTCACTTTCACTAGCCAGTGCACTGCACCACCACAATACGACCACATGCAAATCCAGTAATTCAGTAATTGGATCAATCAGCGGCAGCGGCGAGAGGTAGCCGAGTATGCGAGCAGCGCGGACGTGCGTGACGCGGGAGAAATCGCAACGGACGCGGACACCGACACACTTGTCCACCTCGGCATCCGGCTCCAGAGCGACACTACGCAACTTTTGATCGCTTCCACCAATTAAGCTCCACTGACACCTCTTAATCACTGACACTCGGTAAATGATCCAAAACCAACTCTCCCTCATAACAAGTTTTCTACTATTACTGCGATTCAGTCTAATAAACTGTGTAATTATCGTCACATTTTACTACGTTGATATTATGAAATCGTGAATTTGCATATTACATGGATATCGCATAACGAACACAGTCTATCAAAAACTTTCACACATTTATTATTAGGAATGTTAACTACCGACTTCTACTGGATGTTGAGAATGAGTTGCATAACTGCACGATTCACTTCACAATTACAATCAATCACAGAAATAATAATAAACAAGTTTGCAAAATATAAATAGGCAATACAGAAGCGCTGGCGCTGCAGCGCGGGCGCACGGCGACTGCTCTCTTCGTAGAGAGATCGCGTGAAAAACTCCGATAGAGCACGTCAATGACGCGCTCGCCGCGCCCCATACCCAGGTGCTAGCTTCATAACACGGCAACACGTGCCTTCACATATGTGTGAGGAGAATCAAACAAGCTTAAAGGTGCTCAGTATGACCACTTCTAATAATAATCCTATTAGGACCTGCTACGCATAACAAGCTATAACCCAATTAAATTATTTATTAGTACCAATAGTAAATCTCGTGTGAAAACGTTCAGTGTAGTGTATTTATTCCCATTCCCATACATGCCTACATTATTTGATTATACGCTCAACCAACGCTACTAGGTTACAGCCAGTAAATCTTATAATTCCTAAAACAATATATAATGTTAATATTATATAATAGATGTACAATCCTTTACTTATTAAGTATCACAATTATGGAAACGGATACTTAGAAACAGAACAACTCTGGGTGAAATTGCGAACCAGTGCTGGCCTATTATACGTAACTTTCATCTTTGTTTTACAAGTAAGTACATACGTTTCATTCAAATGTATTCCACTATCATCTTGTGTATTGCATACTAGACGTTAGACATGACATAGTGGAATAATTGATCCACAATGCGATAACTCACCATTGTTGTTATGTGGTCTAGTGTTTTATGTATTTCTATTGTATTTATGGAACAAAAGTAAAGCCCATTTTTTATGACTCTGCTATAATCCGCAATTATAGCACTATGTAGGTAGGCATTGTTTTACAGATTTCATTTACGTAGTTTTTTTAGGGGGAAATTCATCAAATGACTTCTCTCGTCCTTTCTCCTCCCCGCAACTCCGGTCATATATTCCTCGTTCTCGTATTAAACGTAGTAAACTAACAACAGCTGATTCAAAATTAATAAACCCATAAAAATAATGACGAATAAAATGATATCATCGTCGTAAGGATATTCCTATAGACGTCCTCCTAGACAATGTCTATAACATGATAAACAAAGTATAGAATGACTAATCTACACTTACATGTTAAACTAGTTTAGTGTTAGTACTAACGTCTAATTCCAAAATCAACATTTTTCTAGTGATAACATTTTTGAACAAACTGTTTACGAGCAAACATAAGCGTTGTTTACGAAAAGTAGGGGAGGGCGGGGTTCGAAGTTCCGATTTTGGAGTAGGAAGCAATATTAACGTAATAAATAAATCTAAAGTCTATGAATCCTGCATAAATAGATGTAGAATGTATCCTAGTTTCAAATTATATAGTCCAATTCATTGAAATAATAATATATTTTAGCGCAGTATCATTTTTCTGTAGCAAGTCGACAAGGAACAACTAGCCCCACGAAGGGGCTGGTTGTTCCTCAGCTGAGGTAAGTTGTTCCGCTTGTCTAATCCAATCATTAATATAAGATTAGGCAAAAAAATTAGGCAAATTTAACTGAATATTTATTAAGTTTTATTTATAAAAGTACAACATTTTATTGTTCCTTACTTATAATAGCACAAAATTTTAAAGTTTTTGACAAATCAACACCACGGCATACAATTAAAAGTATTTATTAAAAAAACAGCTTAAGTATCTCTAACATTTATCAACTTTGACAAAACGTTTAATTAACAAAAATAGAAAATTCTTAAAATTCATAAAGATAAGGAATTCTTTGGCTGTCATCCATCCAGAGCTATTTCCAGCTCCAATATTTAATTTCTGGAGGACCATCACGGATGAATAGGTCTTTATACTTAAGGCGAGGAAAAACAAACATAGGCGGTACAGTATTTCCAACTGCATTTGCTGCTAATTCAACGGTAACTAAAGTACCTCGCTCAGATGGTTTCTCGTTTTTCGTTTATAGTTTCTCATCCTAAAACAAATATTTAATTTTATTATTTACGTATTTCATTACGGGGCACGTTGTTCCGCGGAACAACTAGCCCCTCGACAGAGGAACTTTGAACCCCAAATTCAGTTTTCAATCTAACCTAGAATTATAATGAAATACCTAGTTTTTAAAAAGCTAACAATTATATTAAAAAGATAATAACCATAGTTTGTCCAACTGATACCAGCAAGAAAAAAATAGCTTAAAAATTTATTGTAATAGACCAAAAAGTTTAAAGACGAAAAAATTTACTTACGTGATGTTTTTGGTCACTAATCCATTACCACTCTTACACGCCGACACAGCGTCACTTAAATGACTGACGCAATAGCGGGATGATTTGACGTTTCGCGATGCACTTCACACTTACTGCTACCTCTTTTCGTCATGGAGTTATTTGGATCGGAACAACCTACCCCCGGCACTTTGAACCCCGCCCTCCCTTAAATAGTTTTATCGTATGTATAGCCGGCGATGTAAGTTGTGAAGCGATATGCCTGTGCGCACCCAATGAAGCGATTAATAACTTGCCCACTCAACTACAAAGTTGTTTCGATCAATAATTGAAAATTGTAATGAACACTTAACCACGTATCATGTTGTACATGTAGACATCGGTTTTTGTAAGCTGCCTTACTTTTCTTACCGACTGCTGACAAGTTATGAGGGGTTTAATAAACGTATGTTTGTAAACAAGACTAGTAGTCAAATGACTGATAAAGTTTACTTGGAATTTCAGCGATCTTATTGTTGATCCGATCTATTGTGTATTTGACATTTTTGTTTTGTATGTAGGTACATCAAATCCTTCAAATATGTAGACATTCGGACTATATGCAAAACTACCGTTTTTTAGGTGTGCGCCGGACTTTCTGATTAAAAACCACCCCATTCTTCTGCTCTACAAGAGCTGAAGGGCTGAGGCCGCGTTACAAAATTGCGCTTGCACCCGTAAACCTGATGTTAACCCCGATTTAATTAAAAAACACTTTTGCTAAACTAAACCCTATAATAAACGTTCAACACAACTCAGGTTAATCGATTTATCTGGATTATTACTACTTATTTCACTTAGAAATATTCCATAAAATCTTCCTTTTATTCGTTGGAAGCAGTTTTTGCTTGTTTTCTGTCTCCTAACCATGCCACAAGCTTGTTTAACTAAATGTTTTCACTAAGTAAAAAGTGGGCAACTAACATGTTTAGTGTTTACGGTATTTCATGAGCAATTTAAAACCTGAGTTGTAAAACAGTCCCGGTTAGAATAATTAACAGGTAATTGTCTGCACAATTGTGAAATGTAATTGCAAAACATAGTTAAACGCTATGTACAAATTGTTAAGTTTTACGAGAGTTGACAACGCGCCAGGAGCCCAGCCGGCGCCGCCTGACCCCGCCTGACCTTTCTTCTCTAATATAACAATATACAACGCCGATGGCAATCTTCTAAAATAAACATTTTCATGACATCTCTGTATGAAATCTGTTGGTTCATTGGATGAAGCTTTGATAACGAACCCTAATATTTTACTCTGGACTCAAGCGCCACAGATATCTCTGTAAATACCTCAAGATGATAGTTATTATGTACATGATATTGATCGCACTTGTTCCGCCGATCTGCTCAGCAAGTGATACGAGGCTCGTGGGATTTTATACAGAAGTAAACCTGACAGCGAATAAGCACGTATTTATTGATCATTTCCTAGTAGAACATTCCAGCGATCGATGGGACTAGCAACAACAATACTCAATTGATTTCGTTGATTGTCGTCCCACGCATAAAACGGTCTGAAGCCCTTCACAAATGCGCAATCGCTTGAAAAATCTCTCATGACTAAACATTGGACCCTTTAACAAAACCTTTTAAGGATACTCAAGAATTTAGGGCCAAAGCCGATTTACGCTCATACAATCCGATTGTTGTTGCTACGACACAGGCCTACGAAACCCTAGAAAATAAAATAAATCTTTTTGTATAACGAACTTATTAACGTGACACTCAACCCATAATAGAAAGACGGATTTCATCGAAATTGGCATTCAAGGTGAAAGATGGCACTACGGACATTAATTATAGTGCCAATATAACAAGCTATCCAATGCCAGGTCTCAGGGCATTTCTTTTACTGCAAAGTCATGGTGTTGAATAGTGAGCATTCGATGTATCAACGTCGCGTCGCATGAATCGCATTTACATGGGTAAATAGGTCGCGACTCGCGAGGTACACGTTGATTTTATTCCAGTTTCACCGGTAGCTAGTAATGTTGTTTGAAAGTGCTAATATCGATCGGCATGCAACTTACAGCAAGGTAGGTAATCTAAATATAGTACATGACCTAAGACGGGTGACTTCCTTTCCACCCCATATACCTCCCCAGCACCGAGCTAGCCCAATTACCGGCAACTGTCAGTCTGTGCCGTCGCGTTGTATTGAAATAATTGGCTTTATTAAAATGAATATTGGAATTTTCGTTTCAGGGAAATTTTCTTTGTTATTTTACGATTTGTCTGTCTGGCCGAAGCTCACGTTTCGTTTATGATTTTAGCAGATATTTTTTTTTATATGTATATATATTTTCTGAATATAAAACGAACGGTATTCCAAACCTGTCAGTATTTTCCCGACATACATTCAACTGTCATTTTGCCATTAGCAACAAGATTACCAGACAATGACAATGCTTTGTTAAAATGCATATTTGATTTAAAATTCAAATCTCAGAGTTTTAAATGAATGAATGAACTTATCAACATATAAAGGTGCCACGAAATTGCTTAGGACTGCCACGAAATTTTTCACAACAAACCTTCTTAACCAATATTTCCAAAGGTAATTTCATTTATCTCATAACATTGACACGCCACACTCGCCTCTGTCACTTGATAAGATTATATCACTGTAAAGATATCTTCCACCGTTTGTGACGCAGGTCGTTTCGTTATGTGGAGGCAATAAGACGTGAAGGGGCTCCGATGGTGATAGCCGGGGGATCCGAAAATAGAAAGTAGATGAGGCGAACACCAGACTTGATGGGCGAGCTCCCCTCAATGACGCACTCCCACGTTGAGTGTCTGTTATAATGAAGTGACGTCATTTTTGCAACCCCTGGATATATGCATAACAAATATAACGTGGCTATTTACGTCGAAAACACTTGCACAGCACACCCAAGTAACACAGTCATGCTGAATAACGTTTGAGTACTAGTGATCCGCGAAACTATAAGCTGTAACTATTGTCTGGATATTGTCTGAGTGAACGTCTATTCAACTGTTACTCAAGCAATTTGGGCACATTTTTAAATGCATAAGTCTGTATAATATAGCTGTAAAGTTTGGGTAATTGCTTAATAATAACAGGCTTAACTTAATAACGTCTGAAAAAAAGCTGTCATCACTTTAATATAGCTATTATTTCGTATTTATTCAGACAAATGCATATGGATTTTGTTATTCAAAAATTATTCAGGATTATGTTCATTTGCGTAATACTTTTCAAACATAATTAAAAGTTAAGTTGTGAATTAGAAAAAAAGTTGTGTTTAATCGTGCAGTGTGTGCTTTGTTTTGAAATTTCATAGTTTTTAGTAAAATAAAGATGGTAGTGGAACTATGCGAATCGGTAAGTACCTAAATGTTATTATGTATTATAACCATGATACACGTAAAAAAATACTGCGCAAGTTATTTTATCGTGAATAGCATATAAATTATCTCAACATTTTTCACGCGCCGCTTTCATATT